TGATTGGACCCGATATGTTGATTGTATATGTTATCCATTTGTGTAGTTGTATTTTGAAGAAAACTCACTAAGCTTTATGCTTATCATGTTGTTTATTGTTTCAGGTATCATTGGTGTCCATGAGAAGGCGAAGATGAGACTGTACACACTCATCAACAACATTGAGGATTTCACACTTTCTATGACACTTTGATTTTTAATAAATGTAATTTGGAATAAACGGTTTTCTTACTAATGGATTTATAAATTGGAAAGTTTTACCTTAATAAAAATGAAAAATTTTGGTTGTAAAAGTGGGACATTACAGAGAAATGGCAAAAAAGTTGTGTTCCTTGTGACCATGCGACATAGATGTCGAGATTGTTTAACATTCCAGAGAGCAACCAACTCGTTAATTGAATTTGACGTATGTATTGTATCGAGTTGCATACCGAATTGATACAATTAATTCCTTGTTGCCTCCTCCCTAATGTGAATTACCAAAGTCGTTTTACCACCCTCGGTAGCTGAATAAATTTAATGAATCAAGTTGAACGTGTACTTTTATGTTAAGGCTACATGTGATATGCTTATTTTAACGACAATGTGATATCCATATGAAAAATGTGATCTTTAGAAATTTTTTGAATAACACTATCTATCCTCCACTTTAGAGATTACAAAGTACGACTTCATGATATCGAAATATTGAGTGTGGTATGTCCATGAATAACCTTTTGCTACAAAGAACAAAATGATAAAAATCAACTCAAACGGAGTTTCGTATGTGAAAACTATGAAAGTTTAAAGTTATGTTATTTTTATATTTTTCACCGATTAACCTATATCAGAGCTAAAAAATATGATTTCCTCACCTCCAAATTTGGTTTGGTTTGTTGATATGTCCATGAATAACTCTTATCATAAAGAACAAGATGAAAAAATTTACAATCCAACATAACTTGTATGTAAGGTAGGTTATGAATGTTTCAAAGATAGGGAAATATATAAGTTTCCTAATGGATTTTCACAATCAACATATACCAAAATGTTGCCGTTTTTGGAAAAACAAAAAAAAATAAAGAAATTTACATAAGTGATGCATATGAAAATTATGGCTATTCCGAGATTTTTTTGATTTTCTATTAATTTAAAAAACTTAAAAAAAAAAGTTAGTTATTATGATCGTTTTTTTATTTGAATAATTTAAATGAGTACCATTAGTCTTTTAAGAGGGTGGTTGGGGTTTATTTTGAATTTAAAAAATGTTTTATCGACAAAATGATTTATTAACTTACGGTAAAAAAATAAGTTTTTTTAAAAAGTGTTTTGATTATTTTTGGTGGTGAAAAAAGTTAATAAGTTGTAGCTTATAAATGTTTTAAGGGTTAATTGTTTTTTACAACCTAAAAAGTTATAACTTGTTTTGAAAAGTTAGAAATCCTAACTTATTGAAATCAAAGTTAAATGAGAAATTATTTTATATGTATTTTTATTTTATTTAAAACACTTTTTTTGATATACTGACTAGGGATGTAAGTGGGTATGAACCGGGACTGTCTAGACCGGCAAACCCCAAAAACTGAAACTGAACGATTTAAAGACCTGAAAACCGGACCGGTATAACTTCGGTTTGGTTCTGGTTCAATTCCGTATATCAGACCAGGTAAATGGTTCAAAACATTACCATAGCGATTAGTTATATTAAGGTTAATGTTTTGAATCCCATAAATGTGTTCCACCAAGTCATTACGAATACTGTGAAATGTTTCAGTGCAACGTATATCTGCTCTCCTGTTCATATACTATTCGCCACCAATTTTTATTGGTTGTATCTCTGGTACAGTTTATTCCTTGTCAAACGCATATATCACTCTTCATTCGTCTTCAATAATCATGTCATGCAATATGAGACATGTATACATGATTTTTTGAAGTTTTTCCTCACCTAAATTAATTGTTGGTTTTTTCAATATGAGCTACCGTTTCTTCAGAGCTCCAAAAGCATGCTTAACATCCTTCCTATCTTTTTCTTGAGACCTCTTGAATTTTTTTCGTCTAGAACCATGTGGACACATAAACGATTTAACAAACACAACATACTCAGGATAGATTCCATCGGCCAGATAATAACCATTCTTATATGGCGTTCCACGCACTTCAAAAGAAGAATCAAGTGCAGATCCATCGTATATATTGTTAAATATATGTGAATAATTAAGAACGCTGATATCGTTAATCGAACCAGGAGAACAAAAAAAAACATGCCAAATCCACAGATCTTGTGATGCAACTGCTTCAAGTATGACCGTTGGGTGATCATGATCACCTCAGGTAAATTGTCCATGATATGACGTTGGACAATTTTCTCATGCCCAATGGAGACAATATAAGCTTCCTAGCATTCCAAGAAACTCATGCACACTAGCATGATGAGCTTGCAATTGCAAGATGTCATTATGAGTAGACTTACATAAATATTTTGGACCATAAAATTGAATAACAGTTTTGCAGAAATAGTGGAGTCTGTCTCGTGCGGTCTTAGCAAACATCCTAAAACTTTCGTCTAACGTATCATGCAGAATGCCATATGCTAACTGACGAAGTGCGGTTGTGCATTTTTTTGTAAGGAAGTGAAATCAGGTGTACCTATAGCATCGTATCGTTGTTGAAAAAAATTGCAGTCCCTCGTTACATCTTCAACTACACGTTCGTATAAACCTTTGAACATTCTGAAGCGCCTACGAAAATAGTACGCTTGATAAGTGACATTCTCTTGAAAATAGTCTTGTACCAAACGTTGGTTGGCTTCTTCACGATTTCTGAAAATATATCTTCATGTTCTCCGTTGAGAACTTTCAGCTGTGTTATTGCATAAAACATCGTATGTTTGTTCCGCCCACGCAACAACGACATAAAAAATGATTTGAAATTCTGTAGAAGATGACATTTTTGAGAGAGATTGATGATTTTTTTTAATAAATTAGAGAGAGAAGGGTTTGTTTTGTTTGAAAAATAAAATAAAATGTATGTGTATTTATAGGAAAGAAAGGAAAAAGGAAAGAAAAAAAAATATATTCAACGGTCGAATATGTGACCGTTTCCTCCAACCAATCAGATTGCATGGCTGTAAAGGACTGCACCACGGCATAAACCCTAGAAGACCGCGGTCAGGGGCGGTGTGCGCGGCTAAAGTGGCAAAACCGCGGCCAATCCCTCAAGCATCATCACAACATAGCATCCGATACTCCAAGACTACTAAACATCGCACATATCAAACCAATCTACCACCGTCTAATCAGCTCTAACTTACAAGTCTATCGACTCATACAATAAACATATAAAAGCATTTTTATTTTAAACCGACAAATATAATATATAATCTACTCCTAAACTAATACCTAAATCCACATACGTTCACGACGACACTTGAACCCTCAACCTAAAAGAGGGAAAATACCACCTGATACCGCTATTAATAAAATAATAATAATTATTAAAAAAAAAAAACCCGAACGCCCTGGCTAACAAGTGTTTCATCGATTCATAATTACACAAGATGAGGATATTATTAAAACCAAAACCCTCCAATTTTAAATCTCTTCCCTAACACCCTGCTCCTCCTGAGTATCACTTAACGAAAGAAGAGAACGGAAGTGAGAGGATTTGGAAGGAAAGAAGAGAAGTTTGGGTGCTCCCGAGTTGTTTTTTTTGAAGAGAACAGATTTGGGAGGATTTGTACCGTTCCAAACGTTCCTCCCAAAATGGGCGGAATTGAAGAGAAAGAAAATGCCTGGAAGATTAAAGGTTACATTATGACCAAAATACCCTTTAGCCTAATAATAAAAGGATATTATCCCTCATTCTACCTGATTGATCAGTTTTTGGCCTCGTGTTCTTCTCTGTTACAAGCACAGGCTGTTCTTCTTCTTCTTCTTCTTTTTTTTATTATTATTCTTTTGTCTTCTGTCTTCTATTAAAACAATTGCAATACTATCACATGCCAATACTATATTTGTATGTTTTATTCTTTTGTCTTCTGTCTTCTATTAAAACAATTGTAATACTATAATATGTGATAAAAAGTAATAATTACGCTAAGCAAAACCTTTTCTTGCTTATGTGCATATGCTTGATTGTAGTCATTACCATTTAGAGATGGTTGTCGAATATCATAACTTTGGATAAAAGTGAAGCTAAGTTGCATCATATTATCAAGTAGTATACTACGAATCATTTATATTGGAATAAAAGCAGTAGCATACCAATGCATCCTGTTTACAAATGAGGAAAAGGAAAAACATGAAGATTCTTATTTCTAACTGCATGGTTTTCTACCTTAAGTAAATAGCTCTCCAATAGATCAAAAGACTACCATCAAGATTCCCAAAGACTATCCGAAAGGACATAGGTGAAACTTAAGTCGCATTTTAAAAATCTATAACAAGAAAGAATTCTGCTTTGGTATCTGACACATTGCTCATGCAGTTATTCCGTTTCAGTCTCTCCAAGTAACTGAGTAAAGTTATGCCAGTTATGCTTTTACTTTGCTGATGTAAACTACAAAGTACAAACTAAAACAACAATGTGAACTTGCCTTTTTGTCATAAAATTTCTATTGAAGGGTAATTTGGGTATTTGATGTATTTTTGTTTAAAATATATTGTCCTAATAACCAAATAAGGTGAAATCACAATGGGTTCTTAATAAATATTCTCTAATTGAAGCTAATTACATGTTATTTTTATCAGAATGACTCTTTTGCCCTTGAATTACATTCAATTAATCAGCATGACTGTTTTACCCCTGGATTACATTTAACTTTTATAACAAATAAGGTGAAATCACAATGGGTTCTTAATAAATATTCTCTAATTGAAGCTAATTACATGTTATTTTTATCAGAATGACTATTTTGCCCTTGAATTACATTCAATTAATCAGCATGACTGTTTTGCCCCTGGATTACATTTAACTTTTATTGTGTTCTAACAATCTACCATTCTTTAATTTTTATTCCTATGTGCAAAGTCATCATGATCAAACAGGAAGCTAGTGGTAGTGAAAAGGAACAAGTTAAATGGTCAGATAAAATGGATTATGCGTACATCCACGCGATGATTAAACAACAAGAGACGGGCAATAGGGTGAATGGTACTTTCACACCAACTGCATATGCTCAAATGGTTGAGGAGTTGAACACAAAGCATCAAATGGATATTACAAAAAATCATTTGAAGAATCGCTACAAAACCTTAAAAAAACATTTTTCGCAATGGTACAATCTGTTTAGGGGAATTTCATTGAGCGGGTTCTCTTAGAATTCGTCTACTCAACTAATAGAAGCGGAGGAAGAAGTATGGGATAATTTAATAAAAGTAAGTGTTCCTTTTTTGTCTATGTTATTTTTTTAAAATATTTTATGTTATCGTTTGCAATATTAATTATTTTTGTGTTGTTAAACAGTCAAAACCTGAGGCTGCGTCGTTAAGGACAAAAAAGATTGCATACTTCGATGAGATGTTGGTATTATTTGCAAGGGATAGGGCATCCGGTGCACATGCTGAAACAGCGAAAGAAAGAAATGCCCGATTAAATGAAAATGAAAATATTCAAGTTGAAACAATTAAAGAAGTTGATGACATATTAGCTAACAATGAAATTCATTTGGAGAACGAATATGTTGATCTTGATGATGACATTCAGGATGTTATTCCACCTCATTTTTCACAAGAACAGTCTTCGGGTGCAAAGAAGTGTAAGAGTAAAAAGAGGAAATTTGAAGACGAAGAAGAAGAAGAAGATATTAACTCAAAGATAATGAAATCGGTTGATAATGTGGCTGGTGCTATCAGGGAGGGTAATATAATTTTTGATAGAGCTTATCCTCGGGAATATACAGGGGAAGAAATTTATAGAGAATTGGAGTTGGTGGGTTTGGAACCCCATGAATTACTGAGGGCTCTAAATTTTTTGGCAACAAATCAAGCAAAAGCTAGGACATTGTTCAGTTGTCCCCTTCAGATACGGATGAGTGTCCTCAAAGATATGATGGGTGCACGTGATTGAATAACCTTGGGTGATTGTTACTGGATTGATCTAATGCGTTTATGATTTCTTCTTTTTGAGTTGTTTGTGGTTTTTGTTTTGCATCTTGAAAACAATTGAATAACATGCGGTTTTCCTTTTTACAATTTACTTTATATTAAAATAAAATTGTTTTGTTAATGTTTTAAGTAGAGGGGAGGAAAGGAGAGTTGGTTTGTTTGGGGGGGGCGTAGGGGGTATGGTAGAATGAATGTGGGAATGTAAAGACTTATTATTTACTCAAAAACATAAAAGGGTATAATTGTCTTTTTTTACTTTCTTTTCTTTCCTTTAATGAACTCGGGAGCACCTAAAATGAATACTTTCTTTTCCTTTCTTTCGAACTCGGGAGCACTGAATACTTTATTATTTCCGTTCCCTTTCTTTTCTTTTCTCTCCTTGTTTTTCCTTTCTTTCTTTTCTTTCCTAAATGAACTGGGGAAGGGTGTAATACATCCGTCTTTCCGTTTGGCGGCAAAAGAGTACAATAAATAGGGTTCCTCAAATCGATCACTCACATCCAGCAAAATTTCTTTACTGAACTCTTTCGAGTTCGACTGTAGTCCGTGTAAAATGATCGTTTGATTAGGGCATGGTCGGTTTAAGATGTGATTATCTACAATGGACCGTACAGTTGTTTCAACGGAAGGCAATGGAGCAGCTTCATCGGCCATGGTATCTCCATCGATTAAACCTATAAACAAGAGTGCCATCCACAAAATCTGCGCAGGCCAAGTGATTTTGGACCTCCCCTCCGCCGTTAAGGAACTGGTCGAGAACAGCTTGGACGCCGGCTCCACTAGCATTGAGATTGCCCTAAAGGAATACGGCGAAGAATCGTTTCAGGTCATTGATAATGGCTGCGGCATTTCGCCAGACAATTTTAAGGTACGTTGTCTGATTAGCCTTATTGATTATTTCGAGCGTGAAGTTTCTCGATGTGGTTTGAGCTTTTAATATTTGTGGTAGGTTCTAGCGCTTAAGCATCATACGTCGAAATTAGCGGATTTTTCTGATCTTCAATCGGTGACGACTTTCGGCTTTAGAGGGGAAGCTCTCAGTGCTCTGTGTTACCTGGGAGATTTAACAGTCGAAACAAGAACGAAAAGCGAGCAAGTTGCGACGCACTTGACATTTGGCCGTTCTGGTTTGCTTACTGATGAGAAAAAGACGGCGCGCCAAGTTGGTACCACTGTTACTGTGAAGAAGCTGTTCTCCAACCTGCCAGTGCGAAGCAAAGAGTTTCACCGCAACATTCGGAAGGAGTATGGAAAGTTGATTTCACTATTGAATGTGAGCTTTATTTATGATATCTGTATTCTTATGAGTTTTATGTATGTATGTTTTTGCTTTAAACACCATGTAGCTCCATTTGGAACATTTTTTTTTAACTTGCTCATAGATTGTATACATGTTACATTTCATAATAGTTGTTGTTATCAATCCAGGCATATGCTCTTACTGCAAAAGGGGTTCGGATGGTTTGTACAAATACGACTGGAGCAAACAAAACCTCTGTAGTACTTAAAACACAGGGAAGCGGTTCACTCAAAGATAACATCATTACAGTGTTTGGCATGAGCACTTTTAACTGCTTAGAACCTATGAGTCTAGTTATATCAGATTCCTGCAAGGTGGATGGGTTTCTTTCTAAGTCGGGCAATGGCAGTGGAAGAAATATAGGTGACAGACAGTATTTTTTTATAAATGGCCGACCTGTTGACATGCCAAAAGTCACCAAGCTTCTGAACGAATTGTATAGATCTGCAAACTCAAAGCAATATCCAATCGCAATCATGAATTTTATTGTTCCAACCAAGGTGTACGATGTCAATGTGACACCAGACAAAAGAAAAGTCTTTTTCTCTGATGAAGGCTCTCTTTTGAAGTCCTTAAAAGAAGCTTTGTTGGAGATCTATTCCCCACATCTTGCTAGCTTTTCAGTACAGGGACCTGAGGAGCTCACTCAGGGACGAAACAACTCAAAGTTGTGTTCTCCTCATGATAAGTCTTTTTCACAGTTTTCATTAAAGCAAGCATCGCCTGATAGCAAACAAGAAGCATACAGTGAGAAGCAACATGTAGAAGTTGACACTGATATGAATGAATGTGAAGAGACATTGAGATCCTCACCTGCTGTTAAACCGATGAATGTGGATGATTATAGTTTATCAAAGACAGACTTCACACTTAAGTTTCATGGTATGAAGAAAGCTGACACCTTTTCTGGAGGCTATAACTATAGTAGGAAGCATACAGCTATAAGTAACAGCACTAGAAATAATTCGCAGGCAACATCATACAACTCAACAATGCAGAAAGGAACAGATTCACCTCATTCTGCAGGTGCTGTCCAGTCGCTGCTTACAACATTTGTATCTGTAAACAAAAGGAAGCATGAAAGCATCAGCAGCAATACTTTATCTGAGGTCCCTGTTCTTAGAAATGGGCCTAACCTTCATCAATCAGTTAATGAAAACCTTCATTTGTGTTCTACATTTACAAAGCCTTCTGATAATCATACTCTGATGATGGATGAGCAGGATGATGAATTAGATGTCTCTCCTATTAAAGTCATGAAAAACTCTGGACAAGTTGAAGAGGTATTGTCAATTTCAAATTCATATCTTTGTTACTTTGGATTGACTTTTAATACTCTCTGTTTGTGTTCTACATTTACAAAGTCTTCTGATAATCATACTCTGATGATGGATGAGCAGGATGATGAATTAGATGTCTCTCCTATTGAAGTCATGAAAAACTCGGGACAAGGCGAAGAGGTAGTGTCAGTTTGAAATCTGTACGATTGAATTTTCATGTTTGTTACTGTGGGTTGACTTCCATTTTTTTATAAGTAAGTTATAATAATATCTTGCTTCCAATCCAACACTATCCAGGTAATAGATATTTCTAGTCCGTTACGATGTTCTCAGCCAGCTTCAGGTTCAGATGATGGACATGGACTGGAAGTAATAGATATTTGTTCAGATGAGGCAGTGGCTTCTTCTCCTTCAAAGATGTGTTACACCATGCAGTTTAGTTTTGAGGAGTTAAAGAAGAGGAGGCATCAAAAACTTTGGGCATTGCAGGCTAGCAAAAATACACCTGGAAAACGGAATAAGGCTAAAGGGTAAAAAATTAATTATTTTGCAGAGGCAGAAAGTTGTAGTTTATGAGTCTCATTGTTTGCTTGTAGATGCTATGCTGCTGCAACATTAAAGCTTTCTCAAGTGGTAAAAGAGGAGGCCAAGGCACAGGCTTTGTCTGCAGCAACAAATGAGTTTGAAAAGCTGTTCAAAAAACAAGATTTTGGGCGTATGAAGGTTGTTCAATTGCTATTTTGATTGTGTTAATTGATTTGTATCCATGCATCATGGTATCTGTGTGTGTTTGTGTAGGTGATTGGGCAGTTCAATCTTGGATTTATCATTGGCAAGTTGGATGAAGAGCTGTTTATCGTGGATCAGGTGTTTACTACCTCATAATAAGATACTAAAAATATTATGCTATGTGTTGTAGATGAGAATCTGATGTGCTGGTGTTTTTTGTTTGTTATGAATCAGCATGCTGCAGATGAGAAATACAATTATGAGCGTTTGTCACGGCTGACCATCTTGAACCAACAACCGTTGCTGAGGTGAGGAGTTTATGTCTTTATGATTTGTTTGTAGATATAATTCGACATGACATGGTTGGAATTGGATGATGTTAAAAGGCCGGTGGCAGTGGAGTTGAGTCCTGAAGAAGAAGTGATCGTTTCAATGCACATGGATACCATCAGGTAAAGTCTGTCAAAAAACTTGTATGGTTTTTGGTTCATTGATAAAAGTAGAGCCTGAGTTTTTGTGTGTTGTTGTACAGGAAAAATGGGTTTTCGTTGGAGGAGGATTTGGATGCTCCTCCTGGGCAGCGTTATAAAATGAAAGCCGTCCCCTTCAGTAAGAACATAACTTTTGGTGTTGCAGGTTACTTTCTGATTCAACTAATTATATCTTATTTTTATCCCCTCATATGATAATATAATGATATAATTGATTATTTTCCAGACGTTAAGGAACTGATATCTATCCTGGCGGATAGTCAAGGAGAATGCTCAATGATGGGTGCATATAAGATGGACACGTGTGACTCCGTTTGCCCCCCAAGAGTGCGTGCAATGCTAGCATCACGTGCCTGTAGATCTTCTGTTATGATTGGAGATCCACTTGGAAGAAACGAGATGAAAAAGGTACTACTGCTACTTTCCTTTTTTGTTTTGGCTTTCGCTGCCTGCCTTTTTAAATCTCTAAATTTTGTTTCTACTACTGTGTATGTATGTAGATAGTTGAGCGTTTGATGGATCTAAAATCTCCATGGAATTGTCCACATGGTAGACCCACTATGCGTCACTTGCTAGACCTAACAACTCTGCGTAAATGCGATTCAGCCATGTAACTCATTCTCCTTTTATAAAAATTTAAATCAAATTTTCATTTGGATACTTAAATTATAGTAATTGTTGAGTGTTGGTATTTACTACTACTATGGACTATGGAGTGTAAATAATAATACAAGGTTTTAAGTGCTGGGAGTGAGTAGTAACACAATCAATCTCTTTGGCCCAAATTGGAATTGTTGGTGTACATCTCGTTTCTGCAATCCTCATTCTTTCTGCAGTCGTTGATGCAGCACTTCAGTGGATGTGCAGTATATTTTTTTTGGAGGAATATTAATTTTGTTGAAATATGATATATCTTTATTGTTGGAATCATGTGTTCTAATGGTTTCTTTTCTTTAATCCACATGAAAGTTGAATTAGGAAATCATCAAACCATAGTAGATAAATAATGTGTTGAAATCTTTTATTGTTTATGAATTTATGTTGGCTGGTTTGTTTTATTTTTATGATTTGTCGTCCCATCTTGGGTTTACCTAACGCATTTTATTATTTATACACTCCAATCCTAGTTATATAAAGCCCTACATAAAAAACCACTTCAATCATGTCATGTATTTGTTTTATTGTGTCACACTAATCTTTCAGGAGTTTGAAGGAATTAAATTTCATTAAACAAACAAAACCAATGTAGCCTTTGGAAATCTCTTGATTTAATTATGTAATTTATAAGTTAATTAATTCTAGAAGAGATAAAAAAAAGTTCCATAAATAGGAGAACTTATTCAATGGTAATTTGTTAAATTTAGATATTCTTTTATATGACAAGATAACAACAATTGTAATTTTGTAAAACTTCAGATAATCTTTTATATGACAAGTAACAACACAAAAATCAACGAAGGGTTGACAACTTTACAAATCAAACAAAATAAAACACAACAAAATGACTGGAATTGATTTCCATCCTATTTCATTGCAACCAAATATAAAAAAAAAAATTAGTTTCGTCAGATTTTAATTACTTTGAAATACTTTATTCATTTTAAAATCATATCGCCCTTGAAATGCCCCTCTGGTTTTGAGTTTGTGATGGGAATTGCTAGTTTTAAGCTTGTTTATGTACTTATCGTATAATGGTTGTGATTTATAGGAGACTAATCATCATGTAAAGCGCCATGTAATCCGCCTATCGGGGTGGCGAAGTTAATTGTTTTCAGCCGCCTTTCCCTAGAGAAAGTGGTTACAAAGATGCCCCCTTTTTAAAGGGATAAACATATCATCGATTACTTTGAAGGTGAAGTCCAAGTATAGTTATTGAAGTCACGCCCAAATAGCAAGAACTACGTAATTATATACACACACATTAACACATATATGATACCCAAAGCAGAAACTTTTATATATATACAAAAAAGTGAGGGACGTACACTTCCTCCCTTCATGGCTTGATCATATATATATATATATATATATATATATATATATATATATATATATATATATATATATATATATGGATTAAACTACGAAATACAAGTTGACAAGTGTTAAAAACCCGGACCAGACCAAACAAAGCTTCACCAAGTCACCTGCCGTCTGGTTTATCCGGCCGAACATCCGAGAGCAAGACAAGAGAGTCGCCATTTGAGCCAAACACACTAATAACCCGAACTTAGGGGCACCCATCCTGAAGAATATCGGGTCCCAAGCTAGGCTCAGGCCCAGCTGAGCCAAGTAAAACCACATCGCTTTTGGCATTTTATGGAACCCGCCTTCCGCCCAAACCAACCAGCCGGATAAACCCATCACGAAAGCTGAAGACAGACATGTCAAATGTAGAGCCCACAAGGGTGGGATCCAGAAGGCCTTTTGGGTAGTCCTGTAACTCCGATTCCAACCGAACCAAGAGATGTTGGCTAAGGTGAGCGCTAGAGGGACCGCAATACCTACAGCCAATGATCGGATGCCACGTCTTGGCATCGTCGACGCCCGCTGCTGCTGCTTTTGAGTCTTCATGTTGGTGCCCGTGACGGCCTCTTGTTGATGAGGTTGGTCTTTGGTTCTGTGTTTCAGTTCTTGGGTGGCGCTGGAGTCCATGGTGTCAAGACGGAGATTGGTGGAGAAACAGAGAGAGAGAGAGAGAGAGAGAGGATGGAATGACGAATAGTATTTTCAGGGGAGGAGAGATTTTATAGAAGAGATTGGGAGTTTCCGCGGGAAGATTAGTATGGATAGGTGTGACACGTGGTGATAGAAGGTGATGAAGAGGGGAAATCTGACACGTTGATAGACAGCAGTGCCACCTATTACGTGTGCACGGCCTGATGGCCAAATTCTTTATCCACTCGCAGAAAAGGTTAAGTCAAGACCGAAGGTTTTTTTTTTTTTGCTCGCGGTGATAATAATCCAACCAGAGCTCTAATAAGAAGTTTTTAGACTTAAAAATAATATATATTTAGATTTAGATGTAAAACCTATAAATTATATGGGTTTATTAAAAATAAAAAGTTTAATATTAATATGTAAATATTAAATATTTTATAAAATAATTAAGAAGAAAAATAAATCAATGAGTTTATAACATTTATGTGAATTTATTCTCAAATTAACAACATTAATATGAATAGAATAAGAATCTTCCATATATATAACCGTAGATTCTAAAAATTTAATAAAAATGAAAATCTCAAAAAAATGACAAGTGAAGAATAAAAAAAAATGAAAAAAAACCAAAAAAGCCATGTGATGATATTGTGTCATTTTAATACATATAAAGTTGGTATACCATATGAATTTATGGAGTTTTTTTTACCATATTAGTGATATTGATGTAAACAGTGAATAAAATTGATAAAAATGTTACAACACAACAGTACTCCATTAAGAGGAGCTATATAATTTTATACATCTCTATACATAGGGGCGGAACATAAAGACTTTAAGTGGAGGGGGCGAAACCAAAATATTAAAACAAAAGCATAGAGATATTAGAATTCAAAACAATTGTTGGTGTTGGTGACTCTTCCTATACGTTACAAGAATTTGTATGCTTTCTTTTAAGAAAATCATCAATAATCGATTGTTTCTTATTTTAATATACACTACATAACATAATTTGCTAATAGTTAACAAATAACAAAGTATGATTATGTTTTCATACAAGTAATTAATTATCTTTAGTGAAATTTTCTTTATAAAATTTATAATTATACGTTAGCCTCAGTTAACAGATAGCCTCAGTTAACAGATAACGTCGCCTATCAATAAATATAAAAAATAGCAATTAAAATACAATCAATAAATATAGAGTAAATTATACGAATGGTCCCTATGGTTTGGAGTAATTTGCATTCTTAGTCCCTAAGTTATTTTTTTTAATACGGAATGTTCCTACTATTTGTTTTTGTTATGCGCTTGGTCCCTACTCTTTGTTTTTATTACGCGTTTGGTCACTGTCTTCCCTAAAAAGATTATTATTTAAATAGAAAAAAATGATGAGGTAGGTAAGGTAAGGTGACGGGGGTGAGGGTGGGGTTGAGGTTGGAATGTGTTTAGTTAAATAAATTAAAAAATCAATGGTCAAATAATCTTTTTAGGTAAGACAGAGACCAAACGCTTAGCAAAAACAAACAACAATGACATTTCGTGTTAAAATAAATAAATTAGGGACCAAATACGCAAATTACTCTAAACTATAGGGACCATTCATATGATTTACTCATAAATATATAAAGATCAAAAAGTAGCTTAATTTTCCTAGAGCTCTATCTATACCTAAATATTTATTTAAATAGATGAACTATGGACCTAACACACATTAAAATAACATTAAAAATATGATAGCTCTTTTAAACTTTGAAAATTTTACTTTCAACCTATTTTAGTGAGAGAAAGGAGAGTACGATAGAGAAATGAAGCAATATTAGAAGAAGATGCTTACAAGTTCAAATCAGGTGATCATCTTAGTAGAGGATGGAGAGCATCGGCGACGGAATGTCGGAGATTTCTCCTCGGACTTGCAGGGCGTTCAACGTTATAGAGGAGAGACAGTGGTTAGAAAAGACGAACATGATAAGGAGTGGTGGGCACTAGAGCGACGGAAGCAACAATATATTTTGGTGACAAGGTGGATGGAGATTAACACTTCGGCGGTGGCTGTGTTTTCCGGTGAGGAACTATTACTTCCGGGAGAGTGATGATTTAGCCTAAGGTTTTGAATCTTCTTAAGGATTAAGTTAAGAAATTAGATATTAGAATAATTTTCTTGTAATTTATAGAATTTTTGTTTCCTAATTTTGTTATAATCAGTTTTAATGTTTCAATATTTCGTGGAATCAGTTAGTTACTAATTTGATTTCCTAATTTGTCGTTTAATATGAAATATCAAATATGTATATTACTAATGGGGCCAAAACCTTTTTTAGCAAATAAAATCAATATATTGTATATATTATAAGTACATAGAAGGAAAAAATCAGGGGGGCCATGGCCCCCTGGTCCATGGCCCCCTGGTCCATTATTAGCTCCGCCTCAGTATACATAGTAATTTTACTATCTGGTTTGTTTAAATAAGACATATGTATTAGTTGTAAAATCTCATGGGATCTTGAATTCATGTCATTCAACGCAGTAAAAAAAATTTGGTAATAAATTCTTAATCGGGTTAACCCGACTAACCCGAATTGTTATTAGGGTCGGGTTTATGGTTGATTTTTTCAAAACAATTCGGGTTTCGGGTTAATCGAATAACCCGGTTAAGAGTTCTGACCCTATTAATTCCGTCCCTAATTACCTTATTCGGGTTCGGGTCATGCTGGGTTAATCAAGTTCGGGTTTTTTTTACACCCATTAGACATGTGTCAAAGAAAACCTTCATTTATTAGAGAGGATTAGGTTATAAGCCTATAAATAGTTTAAAAATAATTTTATTTAATTATAACTTAATTATTAGGAATTGATAATAAAAACTTTAATGAATAATAAATATATATGTTTTGTCAGTAATATCATAATTACATAATTATTGGTTGAATTTACGAAATGTTGCGACGTCGTTCCACAAGTGTGATTCCGATTGGCTAAAGAATCTTCCAAGCGGAACATGTAGTCACAAACGAGAAACACGTCAGCCGTTCTTTGGGAGGGTATCCCGGGAGGATCCGACACTCTAGTTAGTGGATTCCGTAAGGTCTTTAGACGATATCTTAGCGAGAGAGCCTAAAGAGAACATACATCCTCCTATGAACTTGGCCTTTCTTATATACGTAGCGCTTTTTGGATGATGGGGGACCATAACAACGGTTTCTGGAATATTGGGTTGGTATTGGTCCACGAGTCCCTATCTAAATCCTCCGCTGTCCTGATTGGTGTAGATGGAATCAACGGTAGCAACCCGTGCACGACAATATTGATGCTTGCTTCCGTACTGATGAGTTTTGAGCATAACAACAATCTTATGATGCACATGCAAACCCTAAAGCTTTGGATCTAGTTTTTCTAATTGTACATGCAATAATCATCCAATGCTTGTAAACCTTATGTCTAGCATACAAAAATCGAAAATCATAACAAAAAACAAAGTTAGGAGGTTACCTTTCAATTATAGCTTGATCTTTAACCTTTGAGAGCTTTAGTATCACAAGTGTAATACCTCTAATCGATCACAAACACCAAAAAGCAAGTTGGAGAATATGAGAGAGAGGAGGAGGCTCAAAATCGGATCTAAGATCCTTCTAGGGTTTCTGGTAGCCAATTTGAGGTACCCAAGGGGTTCCTTATAAAGCTAAAGAATTAGGGTTCAATCAAAAGACCTAATCCGGTTGCTTAGGCTCTAAGCAACCCATAAGATACTTCGAGAACCTTACCCTTGGACGAAATCCTTATGGGCTTCCATAAGATTTCGTCCATCTCTTGTCTAAGAGATCCCCAACCCATTTTGCAACTATCTTATAATTACAATATCAGTCCCCTAATTTTAGTTAATCTCTTTTGACCACAAAATTAATTCTAAATTAATTTTTGACAAATATTAATTAAATAATATGATTTCTCTTTTAATATATTATTCAAATAATATATTAATAAATCATAATCAACCTCTTTCTCCAAGATTCATCCAGTCAAGTTGATTTGGTGAAGGTAACCCAAAAGGACCATGCTACTATCGGGTCAAGTACATACCAATTATCAATTATAATAATGGGCTTAGACACCTAATCCAACAGTCTCCCACTTGGATAAATCTAATAACTATAAATGAAAGTACGACTTCAAAATCTGATTAGCAATTGTAGTTCTCCGAATCTGCTGTCGAATTCCGACACGTCCTTTAGATAAGAGATCGTATAGTCCTCCGTTCTCAAGATATTGTGCGGACAAACACATGGAACATAATCATACTTATTGTCCAATAGTTTGTTTCTCGATTTCTAGTTTATCTGACATAGAACTTAATTGAACACGTCAACTTAGTCCTGACCGGGCCCGACACATAAGTCAAAACAAATCATCAAAGGGCCCAAGATAACGCTTTTAACCTATTAGGATAAAAGGAACATATAAACTTTGACTCATATGCTTGTACAATTTACTCATAAAATCGTACACAATAATATATTTTATAACATCAAGTTACTGATGCGTTTACACATTATCAATGCATAACCAACTCGTAAACAACAACTCATATATCTAGGTTTAAAGACTATATGATATTATTGTATCACAATCACTTGTGATTAATTCCATGAAGTGATTCATGTGAGTACGGGTTTAATCCAATACTCAAATCTTATTTCAGGATCACTCATGAACTTTGTAGCAAACTTTTGCTATGTCTAAACACTTTAGACGGTCTATAAGCCAATTCACGACAGTCTTCTTTCATACTTACTTCTAACGTATGATCGACTGTGGATAATTTAAATAATATTATTATTTAGGAAGTCAAAACATGCAAAGTGAAACAATAGTAAACAATTGACAGAAGACAGTAACATTACTTATAAATAAAACACCTTTATTTAATCATCAAATTTCAATTACAGTATATCTATTACAAGTTTCTAAATAACTATCTAATCACTAAAACTAATATC